AAGAAAACATGAGGGAAGAAGAAGTTGTGATGATTTCTTGGATCAAAGTTCCCATATTCGCGATGATCATAGATATTGACTCAGGAGGAGGATGGATAATCGTTTGATTATCCGGTGTAATAAACATGGTGGCAAGTGATTGAACTTGGTGAACTTTCTCTTTGAGAAGAGATAAGTTGAATAAAAATGAATGTTGTTGATGAGAATTATGAACTATAGAAGAAGAAGAAGAAAATATATCTTCTTGAATATTATTATGATGATGATTTGATGAATATAATGGTATGTTTTGTGGATTATTAGCACTACTATTTGTCCCTTGAATCATTTTCAAGAAACCCTAATTTTTTTCTTGAAAAACACACTTTTTTTTCTTCAAAATTTTTGATCATATAAGAAGGGGAAGAAAATAATGTAATTTTTTTTTCTTTTTGTGACGTTTTGGAAATGAAATAAATAATAAGTCATAGAGAAATAGTGATACAAATGTAAGTCAACTTTGAGATTCAAATCAAACAAGTACCACTTAAAACCTCCCTCAAATACTACCATAGTCTTACATTAAGACAAAATTCTTCTGAAAGGTGAAATATTTTTTTTATAATTAAACATATTAATATAAAATAACTTATGTGGACACAAACCTTTTTTCTCTCATTCGGTGTTTAGTACTCACATTGAATTCAAACTAAATCTAAGTTCATATTTTGCGGGGTCCATTTCTTGGACATGATTTTTTCCATTCTTAAGCTCGAACCGACGAACTCGAGACCTCTGATTATCTCAACCATTTTATCATAATTCATGTTGGTGGCGACACAAACTTGTTTGAACAATAATTATACGTTTTGCTCTTGAAAAAAATAATATTTCGTTCAAACTATTTTTGTTGGTTGTGTAGTGTCAACCTTAGCTTCACGCATGAATTTGAAGTTGTAAATTAAAAAGATTTATTTATTTAAGAAATAATGTACTGACCATTTCCACATTTGTATTAGTTTATTGGAATTTTGGAGCTGTCATATATTTGGTTAAATTTAATAAATCTTTTGAGAATTGAGAATCTAACCACAAAATGTCATTTTATTAGGTAGGGACTACTGACATTTTCTTCTTTTTTTGTGTCAATATATTTTATTCCATAGCCAATATTCGTATTGTATCAACTGTTTACATAAAATTTATAAAACTTAATTATCATATTTATAAGTGACTTAATGAAGTGAATATATACATTAATCATTATTCAATTATGGTTAAGTAATAGAAGTGTATGTGCATAATACATATCATGCATATATTAATTTGATATATATAAAGGATACGAATAAGTATTTTTATTCCAACATTCTATTCATGCTAAATAGTCATAAGAGTTATCGTCGTGTGATCAAGTGGTTATGAGTTCAAATCTTAAAATTAAAATAACATTTTTGCAAAAAAAATTAAGGTAAAAATGTGTACATTATATTAGGGGTGTGTTAGGTACATACGAAGGAGGAAATCATTTTTCAGAATATAATTTTCAACTTTTTCATGTTTAGTTGTTCTGAAACTTTTTATAATATTTTCTAACGAAAGTAATACAAAAAGTTTCATTAATGACATTCCGAACTCCGTATGTCTTCTCTATCTCCAAACACACCCAACCCACACCCCTTTTCTACCCCAACCCCCCTCTCCACTCCACCTTATTATCATAGTATTTTTGTACATATTACATATGCATACTCTTGCGACAATATTTTATTTAACTACTTAACAAACATCAAAAAACAAATAACTATTTTTAGTAAAAAATATTTTTTTTCGTGTCGAACACATCCTTTGAGTATATACATAAATAGGGGAGAATTGCATGTTTAATGCATCACTAAACTACATGAAACATGAGTGTTGTTATCATGCACGTCGCCAACACTTTTCATATCATGTATAAATTGTCCAACTTGGATATCATTGTCACGATCATAATTCATAATTAGTTTTGTCCCTTTTGACATAATAAGTTTCACAAATTTATCCGTTAGATTATGATATTATAGACTTCAAAAGCACTATGTCATCTGAATTTTATATATATATTTACGCTAGTTTGTTTTTTATTTCGATGTGAAGTCTTACATATCTTAATTTTGAAGTTTGAGGAAGAAATGTGATTGAAATTTCTAGCATTCTTGTAAATCTTGTTCTTTAAAGTGTTTGGAAAAAAAGAGTAGAAGAGTTTTATCATAACTTTTAAAATCTTATTGAACTAGGCTTTAGAGGAAGTTAATAGTCATTGGTTAGGGTTATGAAATGAGGAAAGAACGAAAACACTCCTCCTCAAAACGTGATAAAAAGATAAAACTAAAAGAATTTCAGAGCAAACGTGCGTGGTCGCACAACTAAAGCTTAGGTCGTGTGGCTCTTCACACGGCCATGCCAGTAGCACTGACGTTCCCACGTGGTCGTGTGACAAAAATCGTCATCGCGCGGTGGTTCACACACACTACGTAGTGCCGAGTAAAATGGGCATAACTTTTAGCACATAACTTGGATTGACGAAAGTTCGAAGACGTTGTAAAGAAAACTTCAAGACCTATCATTTGGTTGGTATTAGGCCACAAAACTCTTCATATGCTAGGATTCCCTTATTACCTTTGTTCACATCCAATACATTTTTGACACGTATGATTGGGCCTTAGCATCTATGAACAATTAGGAATCAACCATGTATGAACCTATATACCTATGAAGAATGGTTTGGTTCTTAGCATAGAAATTTTTGGAGTGTTACAGGTGTACTCTTTTTAAGGATAGTTTAAAAATATTGCAAAGTCTTTTCATATTTCTTAAACTTTGTGACTACTGTCTGGTCAAACTACATCACATAAATTGGACATATATATTATTATGTTGGGTTGTATATTTTTGGGAAGCTTACAAAAACCTCATTAGTTTAGGAGTTAATTACTTAGATACACTCTAATCGTTGGTTTGTAGTATTGCAAAATGCAAATCTTACTAGATTTTGGTGCGTCCAGATATATCATACATATATCTTGGAATACATGAGGTCAAAATTAGGTGTAATTTGTTCTAGATACACTCTATCCAAGTGGATTCACATGTATCTATGATACATGACAAATCTTGCTCCCGACCTCCCACCTCGCTCGCCACTCTCTTATGTATTTGGTATCCCAGAGACATGTGAATCACATCAGATACATACAAATACATGTATCTAGTCTGATTTACATGTATGTGAGATATATGACTATCTCGCTCACCTATCTTCCTATTTTATTGTATCTGATAGCAAAAACACATGTATCTAGATGTATTGATAGGAAACTCTTTAGTGGTAACTACTAGGAAATGTAATTATTTGAAAATATAGTTAGAATTTAATATATCGGTATGAATGTATATCTAATAATTTTCATCAACAACTCCACCCGAATTCATTCCTATCAAGCAGATTGAATTATTTGAGTATAAATCAACATTTGTTAGTGGTCTACTAACATCACAATATCTTCTATCCACAACAACTCCAGATTCCGGATGATCCATTGCTATATTCTTCAAAGTTATGCACAACAGATATTTTGTAAAGAGATCGACATTAACTTTCTTTTGATCCAAAAATACTTCCACACCCACATCATTATGGATACAAACCAATGGGCATGGTTCACTAACTATATATTTAATCTCTATGTCATTAATATTAGCATATATCCTAAGTTGCGAAGTTATCGCATTTACTAGCCCACTATATAGACGGGAAGATTCATAGATAATCCTCTCCATATTTGTCTATTTCATTAAAAAAATATCAATCAGTCTTACATAATACAAAGGAATAATAAATATGTTGTATTTATATTCACTTTTCATACCAACCTAATACAAATTTCATCCACAACTTCATACTTCTCACACAAATTTGTACACACCAGTCATTACTTATTCATACTAATATCATTCCAAATAGTCTACCAGAATTCATACCATAAAACACATTTCATACATTTATTTTTGACACACATTTCATAAATTTATAACGATAACATCATCACTATTTCATACACTGTCACGAAATAATATAATCAAATCATTCAAATATAAATCCAAAAACGTACACATCCATGGTATAAACAGTATACAAATTACAAAAACCAGTATACAAAAAACTCATAACATCATTTATTCAAGTTTCATAGAAATTATTTTGTAATATCAAACAAACGAAGGTTCATACAAAAAAAAATCACAATTTAAATATATTATACACAACCAAAATCAGAAAATTTCATTTTTAGTTTAATTGTTCTTAATTTTTTTTTTACGTTTCATTAGTATAAAAATACAAATAATAAATCGCAATGAATACTAATCAGAAGGATCCCATCTACCACCATATTTTATTAATATCCATAAGAATCCGTCCATTACAACAAAATGAAGATTTTTGAACCAAAAATATTTTGGAATTAGTCATAAATGACAACAATCACAGAAAAAAATTTCGAGGGAGAGAGAAACGTTTGAAAAAAAAAGAAAATATGATTTTTTTAATTACTTTTAACTGATTGAGTAAAAAAAGGAAAATAAATATTCATATTTTGTTTTGAATCTCCTAAATTTATGGCAATTCTTAATTATCCTTAATGTATTCAAATTAATGACTATAACTATATCTGTTTTTTTCTTTTATGATTTTTAAAAAATCGTTTTTTACTATTATTTTAAAACTCTTTTTTAAAAATAAAATTTATAACCTGAAATTTTTTATTGTTACAACTTGAAAGTATTATTATAATGTCATAACTTGAAAATATTAGTCTTATATATGTCATTTATAAATTTTTCAATTTTTTCCTAATGTTTAGAAAAAAGCCCGAAAACATTTACGGGCTTATGAAAATGGCCCAAGCTATTATTATTGGACCAAGAAACGGGCCTAACATGAATTGGCCCAATAAGTTTTTTTTGGCCCATTAAGAAATCCATTATCTTCTTCAGTTCGCCATTACAGATAAGATAACGCTATAAACTGTAAAATACAGAAAAACTGAGCAAAAAGTGAAGAAAAGAAGAAGGAAGAATTAGCTATGGCGTCATGGGGTTCATCTTCTTGTCTCCAAAATTACAGCTTAACCAAAAACCCATTTTCTGAAACAGTGAAATTTTCAGAAAGAACTTCAATTTTAACCATTGTTGCTCAGAAAAAAACCAAGAAAGTACGAAAGGTGAGCTAATTCTTGAAAATGGGATAATGGGTTGGAATTATTATTGTCAAAATCTCATTTTTTGTCCATTTCTAGGTTATAGCTGAATTGGGTATTTTTTGTTTTGATGGAACAGATAATACTGAAAGAGGATATTTCACAGTTGGGTAAAAAGGGAGACCTTTTGGATGTTAAAGCTGGATTCTTTAGGAATTATTTGCTACCATTGGGCAAAGCTCAAATTGTGACCGCTGCACTTATCAAGTAACTTGTTTAACTCCACTTGGAACTATATTTTTGCCATTTGATTTCATTGCCTTTTAGATTCTTCTTTCATTAGCTGCATTTTTGTGGAGTTAGTGGTTGTTCGGTAGAGTTATGCATGTATTAGTTATTCCATCTTCTAATGTGCATAACATAATATGTCAATTTTCTTATAAGTTATAACTTATATATGTATTAGTTAGGTAGGTTTTTGAATTACAAAATCAAACGTTGTATTAATTTTATACATGAATAACTTATTTTCCAACTAGCTGTCAAACGTTGTATTACTTATACAAAAGTTAATATATGAATAAGTTGCTTTTTCACTAGCTACGAAACGACCCCTTAATGTTTGTTAATATTGGTTCTGCTTTGTGTTAGATGGATTTTTAAGTGTCCCTTTTGGAGCCTGTTAGTTGATGATTTTAAGTGTTGAATATTCACATTTCCAATCACCCTGTGAGCAGAGTGCACATATAGACACCTCAATTTGGTCTCAATTGACAACTAAACACTTCAACTAGTCTCCACTGTGCGTCGTGGACACCTGATATTGACGTGAAAAATACATTTTGGTGGTGTCTAGATGATCATTTTGTAAGTTGGAGTGTTCAGCTGACATAGTAGAGACGAGTTGAGGTGTAGATGTGCATACTCAAAGTTGGAGTGTTTACTTGCTAGTTGAGGCCAAGTTTGAGTGTGTATTTATGTATTGTGGCTAGTTTAAATTATCGACTTAACCTTATTATTGAACTCAAAACTTTGGTTCTTGTGTCCGTTATCGTATTTTCGTGCCTCATAATTAATGTCAGGATTCTTTGGTTCAACTATTTATTATGCCACACACAATACTTTGCTTGGCTGTTGATGAGTGGAAGCATGTTATTACTATTGCTTGTTTTGTTTAATCTTTTATCTAAACCAATGGACCTATGTCGAATGGAGATAAAATAGGTATACTTAGTCTATGGGATCCTTTAAACTACTTGTAACTAGCTGAAAAGTGAACGTATCCATGGATTATACATTTCTTCGTGCAAAGGTCATACCAGAAAATGATGCTTAATCATTTTTGATATTCCTTGAGCAGAAATCTGGTGATTTTGGTGTTATAACTTTTGGTCAGTATACAAACTCTGCATAACTTTTGTTCTCAGAAATCGTGCTTCTTATGATTAATGATCATAGGTTTTAAGTAAGTTCGCTTCTTTTAACCAAATATAATTTATTGATAACGGATTCGTCTTTAATACATTGTCCCACATTGCATAAGATGGATAATCGGTTGACTTTATCATTAGCTTTTTGGTGAGCAATAGGCCTAACCAGCTGTTAACATTAATGGTGTGATAGTCCTGTAAAAGTCTTATATATAAGGGATTTGCTATTTCATACTAAAGAACAAAACAAATAAGTGAAGGCTTCGTTAGAGATGGTTGTTAGAAGCAATTTTGGTTTGATATTTTTGATAGCTATTAGCGTGCTTCGCCTTCAGTGAGAGATTACCTAACTTAATGGATGCATTTTTATGTTATAACATTACGTACCTTTCTTCTCAGGGAAATGAAGATGGAAGACGAGAAAATTGAGGCTGAAAAACAACGGGTAACTAGACAATTCTCATTAATCTAATCTATTGAAAGTGAAAAATATATACATTTTTTTAATTTTCAAGTCACTAAAAGTCTAAAAGAGTTGACCTACACCAATATAAATTGTTTCGTAATGAATGTGGTTTTAGTTAAACGTTTAATTGATTTCAGGTGAAAGATGAGGCACAACAGCTTGCTCGAATTTTTGAAACTATTGGAGCCTTCAAGGTGAAGCGTAAGGGTGGGAAAGGAAAGCAAATATTTGGAAGGTCAGTGAAATACTAAATTGTGATGAGCAACTTGGTGAATATTTGATCTACCTTTTAACGTCATCTTTCTTGCAGTGTCACTGCTCAGGATCTCGTTGATATTATAAAAGCACAGATACAGAGGTACCATTTTCCAATCTTTTCTGCCATAGCATGTAGATAGTAGTATGCGAACTAATCTCTACTTTAAGTTCATTGAGGACTGTTAAGGTATATTGTCCTTCATAAGGTTGATCCTGTAATATGAATTTGCATGAACTTGAAAACCGATGTTCTCTGATTCATCTGGTTTGTTAAGTCATCTGAATATTTGTGCTTATTTTCTTTTGTGATTCCTTCTGTGCGGTGTTACTATGTGCGGTGTTACTTTAAAACCGATGTTCTCTGATTCCGTTTTTCGTCTATTGCTAGAGCAAAAACTGTTGTTTTTGAAGCAATGTGATGTCTGTTTCAATGATCGCATAGTAGCTTGCTACTACCCCTCTGTCCCCGAAAAAAGAAAGAGAAGAAAGGATTGAAAATCTGTTATCTACTTTTAATAGGAAGAAAAGTGACAGGGGATAAAAAAGTTGTCGTATAAAGTCTTGAAGGAAATCAGATGTACTAATTGAGTTCCTACTTTCCTGTATATTCACACGCAATCTACTTGTAGGGACGTGGACAAGAAAATTGTCAATCTGCCTGAGATTCGAGAAACCGGAGAATATATTGCTGAATTGAAGCTGCATCCAGAAGTTACAGCTCGAGTAAGGTTGACAGTGTTTGCCAATTGAGCATAGGGGCTTTCTGGTGCAGTTGATGCCAAGTCAGGATTTTGCTGTATCGGCTCGCTGGGCCAAGGTACAATCTTTTGTTGATTCCAGTGACTATTATTCAAGCAAAGTGAATGGCTTTGGTGCTACATTAAATCTACATTAATCAAACCCTACATTTACAGAACACTTACATGGCCCAAAGTTTTAGGCTTTTAGTTCACAAAGTTAAGCTGCCAAAGTAATGACAAGTATGATATATGTAAAAAACGACGACATACCTAGTGTAATCCCACAAGTTAGGTTTGGGGAGGGTAGAGTGTATGCAAACGATACCCTACCTTAGGAGGTAGATAGGTCATTTCTGATAGACCCTCAACTCAAGAAAAAGCATATCGAACAAAGAAATAACAAAAGTGAAGAAATCATGGCAAAGCATTCTGAAAAAGAAAGGATCACTACAACAAAGTATGACGGCAAAATAAGTCAAACCCTTTGGAGTTTCACGAGTCCGAATTTAGATACAACTCTTTTCAAAACAAACCTCAACTTCACGAGTCCGAATTTGAATAATGTTATATACTTGTATTTACTCTTTCCTCACACTGTTCCAATCCTGATAGCATCAAGTTTGAATGACGTTTTTGATTTGATATGTACTAGTACTTTTCTTGGGGACAATACTCGTTGTGGTTTATATGCATGAGTATATTATTTTCCTGTACGTTCCTGCATACGATTAGGTGCTTCTTTGTAATATCAAGAAATGCCTGAATAATGTCCCTGAGCAAAATGATAAAATTGCAACTTTTAAGTTCTTAAGATTAAGACATAGTCGATAAACATGAGAACGTTTTTCTTTGATGACTGAGAAATCAGTCTGGAGCCAACCTTTGGGCTAACCACAACCTCCAAAACTCGAGGATGATGGCCCCGCCCCTCTATCCTTATATACTAGACTTAGTTTCTTGGCACAGGGCTCGAACTTGTGACAAAATTTGAGAATGAATTCTTATCCATAACTGCTGTTTTGTTTTCTTTTTGTTTCCATTTTTCTTGTCAGGTAGGGAGGATGCTAATAAACAATGTAAAACATCAAGATTCAGACTCCACATATGGACCCCAAGTTTGTAAATGAATTTTCTTCTTTTGAGATCATTTATCCTGACCTGTAACATCAGTCTTCTCATCCAAAGCCTTGTTATTTCAACTATTATCACTAGATACAAATCTTGTACCTATCTTTTCAATTATTTGTTTCCAAGGAAATGGTTATATCCAGTAAGATCATTCACCCAAGTGATTCATAATCATCTTTAAGCAGATGTGGATCTAGGCCGGGTTCTGTGGGTTCAACTGAACTCATAACTTCGGGGTCGAAGTATATGAGTGTGGATGCAAAAAGGATTTAAAATGCATACATATGATAAGTTCACACTCAGTCTGAACTCATCGACTCTGGTTCTAAATTCACCTAAGTCTTTAAGATGGCTGCTTTTTTTTTCTCTCGAGTCTCTTGTAAGCGATTTTTTAAAGCTGCTTATTGTTATGGGAATGAGGTTCTCCATTCCTATTTATCACATACATGGTGTTGGTAAGTCAAGTTTATAACTAGGGACTTTAGAACCACAAGGTTTCAGGTTTAGATCCTAATGTAGACGAATACACCGGTGATTTCTTTCTATCTGTCCAAGTTTTGGCGAACAAAGTTACATGATACCTGTGCTAGTGGGGGAAGTTGCACGTACCTTGTAGAATTAGTTGAGGTGATGAAAATTGCTTTGGCATTATTGTCAAGTTGGAAGAGCTGAAAAGTTCTGATAGGATAACAAGATTAATTATTTCTTAATGTCCTTTTTGGCCAATGTTAATCCTCTAATTCTGTGTTTGGTCAACATCTGGGGGCCCCTAATAGGCTAATACAGAGAAGCAACTAAGTTGAATATTCAAAGACTTGGAAATTATGCAATATATACTTAAAATAAATGTAAAAAATGAGATAAGTGTTTATATCTGACCAACTAGATTAGCAAGATCACCTACTTCTTATCTTAAATAATGATTGGCTGTCATCATTGATTGCGTTGGAGCGGTAAGTACTACTTCATCCTTAATTAGAGGTCTCAGGTTTGAGCTTTGCGAATAGAGTCGTCATTGGTAGGAAGCGACTTACACTTAGATTTGCCTTTTTTTTTTCTTTTCTCTTTTGTCTGTTTACTTCATATTTTAAACTTTCTTAATAAAACTTTTGACTTCATCACTAATCACAACAAATGCTTAGTAAGTACATTAGGCTCTTTAGACACTACAAATAACACATCAAATTGGTCATTCCATTTACACCCCCACTATCACCTGATATTCGAAATATACTGACTCAATTAATTTAGAGTCACATTATGTAAAATCAATTAAAAAGAGCTTCTTAGGAAAGGAAATTGAAAGTCAAGTGAATTTAAGAAAACCAACCAGGTGTCAAGTTGAGAAGCACGCCACCTCAACAATGTATTTTTTAGCAAAGTTGTCCACATGATGTCTCCAATGAACTCAATTTGTAAACACATGCCATGTCAACTTGTCGTTCTTTTATTTCTTTTAAAGTTACTATTCGGTTTTCAATGCTCATATTGAAGTCTGATTATTTTAGATTCGTACCGTATAAGATTCCAGGACTTGAATGGACATTTTCATCTCCACTACACCACATCTTATAGTTTATTATTATTAGTTTGTGACACTTATGAAACTATTACGAATACAAACACAAAACTTTAGTAATTGATTAGGAGGTAAATTCATATATAAAATTAATATGAGATTTGATCTGTAATTTAGAAATCCATATAACTAATACATATATAAGTTAGGAGGGATTTTATATATTATCTTATCCAAAATAGAATGTAGAATAATTAATATACGGACAACTAAATCTGACAAAACTATACCTACGTACATAAAATAATAAATTAATACCAAACAACCCCTTAAGGTTCAGTAACTGCAACTTTCATGACTTTCTCATCAATTAAGTTATACAACTTAAGTACTTTAATTTAGAGTAAACGTAATAGACTTAATTAGTCCTCAATTATAGATACTTAATTACGTGTTTGAAATGTAGTTAGTTAAGTACTTAATTAGTTGTAAAAGAGATGAGCTATACTATTAAGCTTCATTGACTTTAGAATAATGTTTATATATTTCTTAGACAGTGCAACATAATGTTTTATATTCTTTGTTACCTTTCTTTTTATACTATAGTTTTTCTTCTTGCTTAGATAATTGATCCAATTATATATTAATCCATTAATGAGATAGATCTAGTGGTTAATGAAGCAGATAAAAAATAATTTTAAAACTAAGGTCTAAATTATAGCAAAAATAAAAAATATTATAGATGTGTTTTTTCTCAAAGTTTGATAATATATTTGAGTCTTTTCCAAAAAAAAAAAGATTCAATTAATGACGTAGCCGAATCATAATTGACCATGTGTAAAAAATGATTTTGCAAAATCAGAACTGTTTTTCAATTAACAAATAATGACATGAATGAGCGTGTTCGAACGAAAATGACATAGATGAACCAAACTTCTATCATATGACATAAATGAGTCTTTTCTCAAAGTTTGATGACATATTTGAGTTTGTTTTTTTGCGTATAGCGTGCTTTTGATATCTAACATGTATTTGATGAAACAAGTGAGGTGTTTGATATCTAACATGTATTTGATGAAACAAGTGAGGTGTATAAAAGGAAACCGAAGACAGTTTAATGTACAAAGTATTTCATATTCATAGTGGATCCGAGAAAGGGCCTTTGACAACTTACCCTAATATAAAACATTAATATTTACTTTTGCAGCTGGTTCGAACCTATGATCTATAGGTCACACGAAACCACCACTATTATAATAACAAATAATCATTAATTGAATTGAATTAACACTATTGCAAGGTAAGAGAGAACACTAGGCAATTAACTAGATTGACACAAATTAGTAGTCCCCCACTACATGTGCAAATTAAATCTAAATGAATCTCTCTTATATTTGTCTTTCCCACTTTCTTCCATACACATACACACACGTTGTATTTGTACATGTCAACCAATATATATCCACATGCTAAGATTACAAAATTATGACCAAAACGTGTACATAACAAACAAGTTAATAAGACTTGGTGAATATAATTAAGTGACTACACCAATTCTCACACCTCCATCCCCACCCATTCTAAAAAAATGATAAAGTTTGAAATTTCGTTGAGGATATTCAAATATATATATATATATATATATATATATATATATATATATATTATAAAGTGTGAAAGTGAGATTAACTTAAAATGGAAGTCTTATTTCATTTTTCATTAGAAGAGAAGCCTTAATGAAAAAGCTAATTAGAAGTGGAACCTAATTAGATAGTTCTAATTAAGTTATATATCGTCAGTATAACAAATTTTTAAATTAATAAAATAAATTATCTATTACAACATGTAATAACGAAACGATTAATTAGATAATGTCATACTTACAATGTACTTAAATATAGAAGTAGAAAAAGAGGGGCCAGATTTGTAGTGTGGTATAAAACCTTAAACCTAACCGATCAGGATGCAGATAGTGAAACGATAAGTATTCCTTCAGGCTTCATCCTTGACCATAGATATATATTAGGTTCGAGCTTCTAATATGAAGTCACATTTGTTAAGAACCACTTTATCCTCAACATGAAATCTCTCTAGGAAAAAAATGAATTTAATTAATCGTCCTCAAATATGAGTACTAAATACCAAAATTTCGATACACTAAGTGGAAAAGGACCTGATCATAAGGGTCTATCATACTTAGTGTAGACTATATTTTTGCAAGAAGTTGTTTTTACAATTCAAACTTGATGTCATGTGACAACAACTTTATCAGTTACGTTAAGAACATACTGTATAATAAACCAAAAAACATATAACTTTATAGACCTCATACCTAACTGCTTGTGACGTGTGATTTGCAGTGACTATTTGAGGCTGAAATAAAAGGTTAATAAGTTAGTTAAGAAACTTGAAAAGTAAGGTATGGTGAGTTTAACAATTAGGTGTGATGGGTGGGCTGATGGGTACTAGTAGCTCTATCTATTCTAGTGAGAGCTATCCAAACTTTTAGGTATAAAAAAAAAACCAAAAAAAAAACACACTAAATTTTACACATATTTTCTTAACTATAACACAACAACTTGTAGCATAGTTGTAATCTTATTATATGTATATATATTGATTTTTTTGTTATGGATATAAATCGTATTGAGAGCAATGTGTTCAGTCGAACTCACAGAATCGACTCTGAAATGTATTGGTCACTTGAGATCAATACCAAGGTGGATGTACAATATATGGTATGGATCGAATATTAGTAGAATACAATAGTTTTGATTCGAATTTTGTAGGTGTATAGAAGAATTAATGCTCTAAAACCTTATGTGACGTAATTTAGAGAGTCAAATGAGTTTATTTTTATTGTGATTATTTTTATGTCTTTTAAATAGTTCGATGATTGATAATTATTGTGACTTCAGTATTTTTATGTAAATTTTATTTTTAAACATTCTATATCTAAATTCACGTAGAAAATTAGATAATTTGATCCTCATGCTCCTAATTGGCTTACATAAATTGAAACGAAGGAAGTAATGAACCACGAATCAGGAGTTCAAGTTCAATGACAAGCATACAACTACAAGAAATGCAGAACTCATAAACTTTAAATTTTGAATTCGTTTCGAAACGAAACAAAGTTAAGTTAGTTAAAGAAAAGTAGTAGTGTGTATGGAGTATATAATACAGGTGGATACACATGGTTTTGGCTGTTACCAGCCCCATCCATATACCTTTCCTATCCATTTATTATTTGTCATTTAATGAAACAACACCCTCTTATTATTTTATTTTTCATACTAATAATAATCATAAAAAATAAATATAATATAAATAAATTAAATACAAATAGGGATCAGAACCTAATCCACAGACTTTAGTTGTGGTGCTGGTGATGCCAAACCCTAACAATTCCATAAAGCAATCCCTCCCACACTCCATGCTCCTTGCTTTTGCCTACCACATCTTTCAAGACTTCCGAAACATACTGGTTCGACTAATTTAAATTCAAATCAAATAACAAGACTAAAGTCCGGACCCAACCTCCCATCTAGCAATCGCGAAGTCAGATAGGTTTAAGGTTGATCAACTGAACATTCTTCGTAAAATTTCTAATTTGCTACCGAGCCTGGCCCGCCCCGAAAAGAAAAGTAAACAAAAAATAAAGGATACATCATCACCTCCTTTTCGTGAATGGAAGGCAACCATGACACTAACCACTTACTCACTCAAAGTATTGAATTTCAAAGAAAGTAAACTACCAACAATACTAGATGAAAACAAAATTAAAAATTAGAAAACAAATTTTTGTATATTTTTATGAACAACAATAATTCTAAAAATTCATTATCACTATTTCTTCACTTTTAAAATTACTAAAAAAAATATATGGAATATAATCTCTTCACTTTTTTAAATTACTAATAATAACAATCAACCAAAGGGGCTGCAGAGAAGACTAGACTTTGTTCAAATTTGTGATCATCTTCAACTGGTGCTGGTAAATTTAGATCAAGAGACAAAACATTTCTTCTTGATTTTTCATCATGAATATGGCACGACGATGATTCTGAAAGATTGCTTGCAGTTATCATCGTCGTGGTAGGTGGTTGTCTATGTCTTCTCATGTGTCCGCCTAATGCTTGTCCTGATGAAAACTCCGATCCACAAATTGAACATTCGTGGATTTTGGTTTTGCTGTTTGAATGAGTTGTTGTACTACTAATTTTATTGAGACGCTCTTGATCTTGATCATGTAAATTATCATGACCAGCAGCAATAGAAGTACTGTCAGTATTGATAGTGACAGATTTTTTGTCTTCCAGTATGGTTTTGGGCTTTTTGTGACTTGCTCTATGTCCACCAAGTGCTTGAAATGAATTAAAAGTTCTATTGCAAGTTTTGCACTCATAGACAAAAAAACCAGCTTTTCCAGTTGTACTACTAGTGGCCATTTCTGCAAATTTCCTGCTGTTGATTTTCTCTTTTTTAACATCTTCTACTTTATGGCCACATCCACTTTGTGCTAATAGAATTAAACAATTGGCCATATCTTCATCTTCCTCAGATGTGCTAGTTGTTGAAATTTGAGTAGTAGAAGTGGTTGGTGAATTGTAAAAATCACCTCCACCTCCATCTCCATCTCCACTTCCATCATTACTACCACCAGCAATCGATGAACCGGTGGTAGTAGTGATGGTTGTAGTCGTCGTCCCGGCTGTGTTCAGCGGGGAGGACGGTCGTGATCGCTTAGTGCGCTTTCCTTTGAAAGCGCACGAGCGATCGGTGAAGTTTTGACAAACTTCCATGACTACAAAAACAAGGAAAGAAGGCAAAAACAAGTGACAAAGTGAAGAACAAGAAGAGTGATGAAAGAAAGAATATAAAGAGAGAGAAAGAGAAAGAGAGAGAGAGAGAGAGTGATGTTATAGCTAGTGGTTTTTGTTATGTATATATATTTGTAATGAATGGTAAGAACATGGTTGGAGAGAGTCAAAATTATAATCTACCCAACTTTTAACTAAGTTAATGAACAATATTAATTATTTCTTTCCCATTCATATTATTTTTAGACTAAAGAAAAGTGTCTTTTAAGTAAATAGTAGAAGTTACTTTGGCACTTCTTGTACTTCCTTTAACTACACTTAGCCTATAGTTTAGTTTGACAAGTAACTTTTCTTGATTTTATGGTCATTTGCATTTCTGTCTCTATTTTGTGTTGGTCTTTAATTTTTATGTTTTAGTAAAAAAAAAGAACTTATGTCACACTAACATACGTTCGAGGGATAAGGATGAAAATTAAAGATCAGATCATTTGAAGGTCGTGGAATTAAATGGACATAAATTTCACATTTAAGCATTAATTAGTGAAATGCAATGTATATAGATATATATATTACCCTTTTTAATTACCAAGTTATTTATGAAGGGGTAATGTATATAGGCTTTGGAAATTGCAAGGTAAAAGTTTCTTTATATTGAAAAATTTAATGTACTAATTTGGAATATTTTTTGACTAAGTAGTAAAGGTGAAATGAATGAGTGTTATAAAGGCCAAAGGGAGTGTTATAACTGAAAAATAAAAACAAAAAAGTATGTTAATTTGTTGGTGACTTTGAAGTTTTGGTTTCACACTCTCTTTAATGATTTTTCTTTGTTTAATTTGTTGGTTTGTTATTGTTATAAATTTAATTAGAGTTAAGTAATTTGTCAACAAAACTCATGAATAATAAACACTCATCAAACAAATAAAGCATTGCACGTTAAAGGCATGCTCCACCTCACTCACTCCGTCACTTCTTAGACTCAAAGAAAACTATATATTATTCTTGATGATTATTATTAATACTTACTTATTCCTTTCGTCGCGATTTATATGATGTACTTGACTCAATATAAAATTTAAAAGAAAAGATCTATTTTTTTTTTAAAAAAAAAACTTGTGATCTAACATGTGCGATATATATTTTTATGACTATAAATCAGCATATCGACACTACTAAAAATAGAAACTAACGACAAGCGAGTTACGTAGTCAAACAATAAAATTCACCGCTTAAATTGTTGAGAGTTATATGTTAAATACGAGCGATTTAGCGACATATTATCTACGGATATTGTAGCTACTTTAAATTTAAGTGAAATATAATTTATTTTGAGACAAATTAAAAAGAAAATATGTCATAAAAAGTAATATTTTTAATCAAGAAATGCAAATATGAACAAGTAAGGCAAACCACCAAGATTCGATTGGCTTTCAAGCAAACCCTTTGCTTTTTTTGTATCTCAACAAATTAAATTCACTAAATTTAATAGTGGTACTCCACTTTTAGGCCACTCTTCTAAGTATGACAAATTCAAGAATTTAATTTCTATGATTATCTTTGATTTGATCTCCAACTTTTTTATAACTAGAATCATTCATTAATAATAATCAAATTGTCAAAAAAAAAAAATACTACAGTCAAAACATGGCATATTTATAGTTTACCAATTACATAATATTAGATAGGAGGATATAAAAATTGAAGATTAAGGTGAAATGCTAGTAGGTAATTGAGTGTTATCGAGTTTCTTTTATTATAATACTAGTTATTATTATAAGTACTCTCATACTATTTTATTTTTTGATTTTTTTTACCTATCACCTCTTTTCTGTTTCATTTATCCAGCTGTTGTTTTGTTGCTATTATCCATTATATTGGTTTATTTATTGCTCTATTTTCTTTTTTTTTTTACAGTGCTGAATATGCACAACTTAAGTCAAGGTCTATCAAAAATAATTTGTTTATCTGAAGAATAAAACTGCGTATACACCACTTCTCCGGCCTATTTTGAGATTGATCACCTCAAAAGCAAGTGAATTAAGATGTAATAGTCACATCAGTAAAACTAGTTACCTAGAAAATGAGATATATACAATCTTCTAGAAACATTCTAAATTACATTGTTGGTGTAAAAAATCGTTTATATTGTTATAAATTCATTTCTATTAATTTCCTCCTTTTAATGACTTTTCCAATATTATACTATATAGAGCTAGGTAAAATAGCTTTTAATTCTCCTACAAAATGGGGGAAAAGAAGATAATTAATAGTAATTAATAACGTGCACTTCAGTATGTGGTGGCCATGTCGAGTGAGATTATTGTAGTAGTGTTATTTTAAAGGAAATCCGTTCAAAATCAAATCATAATCTCATAATCGATTATTTAAATTAAAAAAATATTATCGTATTGTATTATTGTTAATATTGGGTTATTATTGATTAGTGGTTGATTTGAAAGTAATTTAAAATTTTATAATCAACCGATGGACGAACATAAATCTTTCTTCGCATTTATTTTTTAAAATATTAGATTAATCGATAATTCAACAATTAATTAACGAATAAACTTTAAAATGATCGATTAAAACAATCAATATCTTATTAATTTAATAACAATGTTATATAAAAATTGATAATCGGTAAATCAAATTGTTAAAGTGCAAAAATTGAACTGAATATGGATTAATTATGGGTGATCTCACTTTTGTCTAATGGCATGTTTGCTTCCTTTTCTTTGATCCCCGTTTGGTACAATGCTTTATTTTGTTTTTATTTATTAGTTCACACTTATAATCATATCATAAAATAATAATAAAGTCTTTTTTTTATTTGTTGCCCAGTTATTTTTATTCACCATTAGTATAGCCTTTTAATAATATATTATTGTCCGTTTTCTTTTACTAATTCAATATTATTAATTAATTATGCACTCTTTTAAAGAAATCACCATGAAATGTGTATTATTTTATTAAATAATTATACTTTTGCAAATTTAAATTTTACTAATGGGGTTTTAATAAGTTTGAAAAATAATCACTTAATGATTAATTATGGGAATAGTGGTAAGTCATCTTCCTAGCAACTATCTTATTCTTCATTTAAAAAAAATATAATTTATTATTATATTTTTGCTTCAACTATTGCATTATTTTTTGTTATTCACTATTTTTCTTCATTATTATCATGTCTTCTTTACTATTGTATTTTCTTTTCCTACTGTTTTTTATATGCATTAAGTGAGTCGAGCATCCATCAAAAATAATTTTTCTACCTTCACAAGATAAGAGTAAAACTGTATATCCAACACTCACTCTCCATATCAGACTCCACTTATGAGATTACGCTAAATATATTATTATTTTATGTTTGTAATAGTAAGTCATCCCACGATGAAATATGAGGAGAGAAAGAACAATAAGAAAAAAAGTCATAAAAAGGAATCAAAATGATTTAAAAGAATATGTCTACAAGATCATTAGATCCAAATTTAGCATCTCTTTACATGCCATTTTATTCTTTAAATTAGCCATCACTATGATGTCTTTTTCTTTATTCCCACTCCAATTGGACCTTGTTATTTCAATCTTAATCTAATTATTTACAAGAAAATAAACCAATTAGATTTGTAATTAACAAAAATGGAGTCAACTCTTTGAAAGGTAGTAATATATATTTGCGATAATAGAGAATATTGTGTCTAAATAAACAAAAAAAAATCTTATCATTTAGCAATAGTTAAGGTTTAGTAAGTGATCGACATGGGTTGTGATGCACTGGTGGGAGTGCTTCACCCTTAACCAGAGGTCTCAGGTTCGAGCCCTGGGTATGGAGAAAATTCTGTTGGGAGCGCCACCCTCCGAATGGGCCCTGCAGAGCGCGATCTGAATTTAGTCGGAGCTTCAATGTGAGCTCTGGACACCGGATGGGAAACAAAAAAAATAGTTTTAGTAAGTGAATACACAAGCAACAAAGATATATGTCTAATATTTATTGATTTAATATAAATACTCGATACAAAGCACATAACAACTTTGTAGAATTTTTATACAATTACCACAGCCACAGCTTATGTCAATTAATTTATTGTTGATTTTTTTAAAGAAATGCCACAAAGAATAGAACTTAGAGTTTCGTGTTTGAATAAAAAAGAAGTTGAGTGAGTTATATTATTGGATTTTTTTCTTTTTTTATATATAAAAAAACTAATCAAGGAAAATATCTAAGTAGTATTAAAAAATATCATTTTTTTAGACCGATTAAAACCAAAAAAATAACTGAAGGTCTGTCCTTCTTATGAGTTCTAAATTTATGTTATATTTATGTAGTGCATAAATTTTTTGTATCACGCTGAATTGTCACGTAGAATATATATTTATCTACCTGTTTAACTTTATATAAATTTATGTATTTATTTATACATTTTTAAAATTGAAAAATGTAATATTAACTAAAATTAAATTAAAAGACATATTTATATTTTATACGTAAAAAAAAATACAAACACATGAAAATAAAAGAAAAAAAGTGAAGGTAATAAAGTAAAATAAAGGAGTTTTAAGAATAGGTGGCAAAAAATAAAGGAAGTTGTAAGGTGCAGGGGATAATATTGTGAGGCTTGCTGACGCTAGAAATCCGACTAAAACTCATATTTTTGTGCGTAGTTTATAAATATATAAAAAAATTTAAAGATTTCATGCGCATTTTCTAGTCAAGTTAAACTGTTTGATTCTCAAAAAATGAAAAGTGTCACATAAATTGAGATAGAAAGTATTTTTTTTTCTTGTTGTCATAAGTATGGTTTATTGTCCGGTGTTCAACATTCCTATTTTAAATTTAATTAATTCGAATTCATTTTATAAAATTTCATTTGGAAGGTAAAAAGCTAGTTTTCTACCAAAAATAATTTTGATATATAGAAGTCGAGCTTGAAAAACCTGATTAAAATTATTTTAAAAATACATATACATATGTATTCCAGTCATGAATTTCAATATTATTGTCTATCATTAATTAATCTTGTGTATATTCTTAATGAGAGCCAAACCCTCTATAGCTAGCGCAGACTTGCATATATTTTTTTT